GTTAGTTAAGACTATTGGAAAACGTGAGGTCCTCGCTTTTTTTTATTTATTACGCATTACACATGTACGAACGCATGACCAAGAATCACTTTTAAAAGCTGATGATGAGCAAATTAATCTTTTGTTTTTAAAATTTATAAAATAAATATATGTGTATATTGTGTTTTTTTTGTTAATTGTTTTCTTAAGAATTAAACAATTATCGCCACATACATTATTTACGCATCATCTTAAAAACTCAATTACGTTCTAGATTAATACAAAATAAAAATGACAAGAATACAACCATCTTTAGCTAGGGTTGAATCTGTAGCGACTTACGGTCGTAATACCACTTTTATAAGGTATTCGCTAATTTCATGTTTATTTAGACAACATTTACAAACAACTACAAATGAGGACCTATAGGATTGTAGGACGATTCATGGATGACTCTGGATAAATAAATCAACAGCAAAATCATGGAATTATATAATTCTGTACATAAATACATAGTTATAAACATATAAGCATATTCATTTTAAAAAGAAAGAGAAGATAGAAGAAAACAACAATAATAATAATAATAATAATAGCCGTTAAGTATTTTTCGCCACGATGTTTCAGATGCTCAATCATTGTGGATGTATTTATGAATCGCGTTTGAATAAATAGTTCGAAAGAATATTGATTTTTACATTGATTTTTTTGTTATATAATCAACTCACTTAGGCGATATTGCATAATAATGCAATAAGATGACGATTGAAAAGAAGTTGAAAAAGAGAAAGAGATAGGATATCGGCCGCAACCTAGTGGGTGCAGCTCCATCCGTTAGTGTTACGCCTTTAAGAACTGAGACTTGATAGTCGCGATTCCTACATACTCGGTCAGTCACATATTGGACCCGAAAGTTTGACAAGCACCCCCTCCCCCACGTTTTTTTTTTTTTTTTGTAGATTTCAACTGGATTTTTTGAATTGTAAAACCCAAAATTTCATTGGCACAACCGGTTAATATTCAATACATAGCAGTTCTACACATCTTCATATACAGTTTGTTACATACCGTTTAACCTATAAATTATATCTTATGTTTTCAATTATGAAAATGTATTGACATGAGAGCGTATCGTATTTAATCATTGACAAAATGATTAGGAAATGTTGTCATAAATGATGATTTTGATTGTTAATATAAAATATTTATTTTTGTTCTTGCTTTTTTTAAATTATTTATTAAAAAAGAAAAAATAAATTAAGTTCAAGGTCTTGAAATTTCAAAGCAATTGTTTATTCCATTTTAGTAAAAAAAAAAAAAAATAAATAAATCAAATATATATATAAGTATATATTCTTTTTTTGATTTTTTACATACAGGCCGGTTTGGATTTAAAAGAAAACCTGGTAGCTGGTGGCACACCTTGGCCTTATCCATCGGTATATCATCCATACGATGCCGCATTTGGTTATCCATTTAACAGGTAAGCTCTCGAAAGTTAATTATAAATTTCTAAATACCGGTCTTTCGCTCATAAAACATTTATCCTTAAAACATTTGCAGAATATTTATGAAAGTTTCACGTTCTTTTTTTTTTTTTTTGTTTTCTATAAATTATTATGTTCATTTGTCATTATTGCATTTCCATCAACGATTTCTTTGTAAGCAACTCTGCCCATAACCATATTGTAGATTAGGCGCCGACTATCAACTACTTATTATGATTATGACATTCTTTACAAAAGAAATTCTTGTTTTCAATGAATTGTAGATTGTTGTCATGAGGTACATTATTTTTTTTTTAATAGTAAATTGTTATACGATGTTTCTTCTTTTTACAATATTATAATCGTACAATATACATAAGTACATTGTGCAAGAAATTGCAATTCAATAACAGCAAAATATATAGAGAACCGCGACATGTTATGCATTTTGAATGAAGTAGGGTTTAAGTATGTGATTTAATAGGTAGTTGCTAACATTTCTTTTTTCTTGATTAGAAATTTTCTCTGCTTATTATGTTGATTTTCTTTTACTTTTTTTATTTTTGTGTTTTTTTTTTTAATTTCCAGGTTTTATAAAGTGAGTCAATTTTCAGCATTGACGTTATCATAATGTTAGGCAGACTGATTTATGATATTATTAAACGTTTACAGAAATTTTTAGAGATTTAACTCGTATGTCAAAATAGAGAAGAGAGGGTTATTTTCAATGAAACGACTAAATTTCTATTTAAATATCGAAATTACTTTAACAGCTTTAGCTGGAGGTCTATTAAGGTATACCAACAATCAAACGGAGTGCTCGTAAATTAAGCTAGTAATTACTTTCTAATTAATTATGAACAATTTGAAGCAAAATATTCAATAAATTTTCATACTAAGCATTTGGATTAATCTCGTAAAAACATATTCCCTACTATTCTTTATATACTATCTCTGCCAATATATTTTTGATATTTTATAGCGAAACATTGTGAAACATTGATGTAAACCTTCACTTTTCATAAGAATCCTTATATGAAGAGATACTCGAGGAAGAGATGTTTTTATAAAACTTTCATTATAAAGATTTACTTTTCGTAAGAAAAGTTGCATGATAAAATTTATCATTTATTATGCGCCAACATACTCTTTTGCACCGATGGTCATTAATTTAGAATTAACTTCTCTGTCCGTCTGTCCGGTTTGTTTTCTTGTGTTCAACCTACAGGTCGCAATTTTTGAGATATTTTGATGAAGTTTTATATATAGACACGTTTTATCCCAAGCATAAACGCTACTGAAAACGATTCGAATCGGACCGCTTGCCCATAATAAAGCCTTATTTTGGAAAGTCGTTTTATGAATAATTGTAGGCGTTGTAGCGCGTTTAATGCTGGGCCGTTTTCATTTGTTTCTGAATGATATCTTGCGTGCGCGGGGAATTATTGATCATTTAATTGAATTAAATAAAAAAGGTTGAATCAGTATATATAATTAAAAACTTTTTTAAATAGGTGTTCCATTATTTAGGCCGAGATGGTTCAAATTTGGCACAGGTAATTTTTTTTACGTTAAATTACTTGTATGATATAATTTTTATCATGAACTTGAAAATTATACCTTTTTGTTGTATGAATTTTAGTTTTCGCTATATTAGGGGGATTCAACAATTGCCCCAGCTGGTCCAAAGTTTTCGTACCAGTTTAGAATGCCCAAATACTGCTACTTAACTGCTTTTGCTTAGAAATTTTGAAAATTACAGTTTTTTCCATATACCGATTTTTTGGGAAAAGTCGTTATCTGGGGAGTGCTCGAAAAGTGGATCGATCCGAACCATTTTCAACAGCGTTCCTACTTGGATCAAAACACATCATTGTCCCAAATTTTATCAAAATATCTCAAGAATTACGACTTGTAGCTTGAACAAATCAGACAACAGGCGGGCAGACAGGCTTGGATTAATTCAGATTATCGGTGATCGGTGTAATAAAAGGTGGATCTATCTAAAGCTCTACGTCAGCATTAACTTGATATACCCTGTATCACAAGTGTTGGTATAAGGATACAATTTATTTAATATTCGAAAAACGTTTTTCTCGGATACGGTTCGTATAACTAGATCATGGATATTCTTTTTAAGAGAAATACCCTTGCACGTTTTCACTTCAAGACTCTTTATTCACAATCAATTTCTTTAAGGATGGGATTATTTACATTTTATTTCGGCAAGACTCTCGACATCTCCACTCTAATATTCCTTTTCGACTCAAATGTTCTTGTCCCACTGACTCTGCCTTCCGCAAATAGTCTATTAAAATGCATTTTTACAAGCACATTACCATTAGCTAAGTGCATGGTTTCATTCCTAATCCGTTAACCTGCTTTTTCCTTATTCATTTTCCTCAGCAGGCAGCTGCATGACGCGCCGCTAATGTGCCCTTGTGTTTTCCCTCTCTAGGCAACTTATTTTTTGGAAAATCAATTAGTTGGAATGAACTGTATTTGGGATTTCCGTCACAACATATTATAAAAGAGTTCTAATTGATAGTACAATTAATAACAAATACGACGTTGGTTTATTTTCAAAAAATATTTTCTTAAACTATTTTCAATAGGACATTCAACAAATGTTATCTTAATCAAAATCATTAATCCTAACTTATTTGCGTAGGAGCTTAAGCTTAATGCAATCAGTATTTATTAAATAATATGTTAGGCAGATGACGCTTATTGTAATCCAACTGAGACGTCAGAAGCGAGAAGAATAACAATACTAATGAAGTTCATTAAAAGAATTGCATAAAATTATTTTAGAGAGAATAAATTCATTCATAAAAATGGCAGCAAGAGTATCAAAAATATCATAATGAAATAAAAATGTAATTAATAAAAAAAGTGTATGTGCGTACGTTTGTTTTATATATTATATATATTATACTGGCAGAGACAGACAAATATGCATATATCCCCAACGACCGTTACTTCCGTTTAGTGTTTATTAACATTTATACAACATGTGAATTACATAGTTGTTAATCATTTTCTTAGTGAAAATATGAAGTAAAAAAACAGCAATTGTTGATTAATTTCCAGCTAAAGAAGGCAATTAAACAATTTAAAACATCCCGTCACGTAGAATCCGACAGACAGACCAAAAGGGAGACAAAGACGAAAAGTACTGAAACAACCGCATAACCAGTTGAGTCATATTTCCACACTTAACATGAATCAATATAAAGTTGTTTTTCTTTTTCTTGTTTTCTTTTTTTTCTAATTTTCCTCTATATAAAGGAGTGAAAGAATAGAGAAACTGTTTCAACATGCAGGTGTTCAATTAATATTAAATAAGCAAAAAAAAAAAAGAATAACAACAAAAAGAAAGAGAAATAACCTATAACCTAATTAAGAGCTTCAGAGTTACGATTTAACTTATAGCAAGAGCTGCCGCTTTAATAAAAGCGTTTTTTTTTTTTTTGGTCTCTTCTTGTTGCTCCTAAGCCAAGGGCATTAAAAGCACTTGCGCTTCTTTATGGATGGAGTTTATATAGCGACCCTAATTGTGTAGTAGTAGTAGTAAGATTAATATATGCATATGTGGATATGTTGTGGATTGCGTTGCTAAGGCCGCCTTAAAGCAGGGCTGCCGCATTAACCAGACAAAGCCACAAATTGCTCTATAAAATTAACCACTAAAACATAAAACAAGTACTATGAAGCAAAAATAAAATAGGAAAACATTGTATACAACACAACCCTTTACAATCATATCTACCCATTTGCTGAACATTTTATAATATGTTTTCATGTAAGTATTACTATCAAAATATGGGAAACGTTAACCTCTTTCCAATCAAACAATATCAGCATAAATTTGATTCCATGACTGTGCATATGCATGCCACTAACGCATATGCATATTTAGAGGGCAGAGTTGCCGTTTAAAAATTAATTATTGTCTTAATTGCCGCCAATTAAAAGATATATTTACATTGTTGTGTATACTAATAATAATAATAAAAAAAAGAATTAATACTAAAATGCACACGTGGTGTCTACGAATTGCAAATCATTAAGCTACGCTAGTCTACTATATAAGAAACTAATTAATTCGTTATTGTTGTTATTGTTTTTACTTCGGATTTTAGTTACGGTATGGATTTGAATGGTGCACGACGTAAAAATGCTACGCGTGAAACCACCTCTACATTGAAGGCCTGGTTAAATGAGCATAAAAAAAATCCATATCCTACGAAGGGTGAAAAGATCATGTTGGCCATTATAACAAAAATGACTTTAACTCAAGTGTCCACTTGGTTTGCCAATGCACGTCGAAGACTGAAGAAAGAGAATAAAATGACTTGGGAGCCGCGTAATCGTGTCGATGACGACGATGCTAATTTGGATGACGACGATCATAAGAGCACTGACGATAATGATCTATTAGGTATGTATCTTTTTCTCTTTTTGGTAAAGAAGGTTGTCTTTGAAAATTATTAATACGGGTATTTAAGGTATCTACCGATCTTTAGTTCTCCATCCAAATTCTTTTTCCCTGCAGCTGAAGAGCTCCTACTTCCTCCACCCTCATTTAGATACTTTATGTTTTGAACCTTAGGAAATATAAACAGGAATTAACCGAGAATTCATCTGCATAGTAAAATGTTAAATATCTCTGTTTTTAACTGCACCTCTGTTTTTAACTTAAAAAGAAAAACATTTTTTACCAGTGTTTGAAAGTCTTAACTGTAAATCTTAAAAATCAATTAGATTAAATAATAAAAGTTGAATTGGCTGCAGGGGTAATAAAAAAAAGTCTTTAGTTTAAATCGGCAAGAATAGCCAAATGGATAAGAATCGCAACTACCAAGTGAGTCTTCACGGGTATAAATCTCAGTTCAGTTTCACATGCTTAAGGGTAGATGTGCTGAGCCGGATCTATTTTTAAAAAAAAAAATTATGTAGGATACGAAGGTTTCTTATGCTTACCGCAACATATAATTCTCGCTTCACTATAGATTGCACATTAAGGTCCTAGACAAACGGTTAAATGTAACGTAAAGTTATTTTTTTAATTTCGCTTACGATGGCAGTTTGAACAAAGTTATTCCTTTTAATTAAATTTCCTATGTATTTGTCATTACTGCTTTCTTTTGTTTGCTTAAGATGCTAAAGATTCTGGTTTAGGCTCCAATGAAGATAAAGATCACCGTATATTAGGGGAACGGCCGGGTGAAAGCAATAACAGTGAATGGTCCGGTTCACGACCTGGCTCGCCTAACGGATCTCCTGATTTATATGATCGGCCTGGGCTTATGCCTGGAGGAGGTCATCCTATGTTTCATCCTGCGACTTTGCAACATTTTCGTCCACCTGCCGGCTCTCCGCCCGATATAGCGGCGTACCATCATCATCAACAGCAACTGCTACAACATCATCAACAAGCCCAGCAGCAAGCTTTAAATTCAGCTGCCAGCGGCAGTACCAGTGCCAGTCTGGCAGTTAAACCCCGAATTTGGTCTTTGGCCGATATGGCATCAAAAGACGCCGCCAAAGAAACAAATAAAGACAGTCCGCCTGGCAGTGATTTACCGACTGCGCATCCTGCTTTCTACGGCCATCCCGGTCAACATCCAGGTGCTGGTAAAATTTTATCTCCCTTAGCGGCTAGAATACCTAATTACGCACCGTACGTGAGACCAGATTTATATCGTGGTTTTTATGGACCGGCAGCAGCAGCAGCTGCACATTTAGGTGCACCGACGCAGGAGTTTCTTGAACACCAAAGAACGTTTGGTGCAAGTTTAGCAGCGCACAATGGTTTAGGTATGAATCCTTTATTATGGAAAGCAGCCGTAACCGGAGCGGCTGCGGGAGCACCGCACTTTGCACCGCTTAGTTTGACTACAGCCAGCAGTCACAACCCCGCACAACAAATCCCGCCTTCAGGAACTTCGCCATCGGGTTCGAGTAGTTCATCTTCGACAGGCTGTGATGTTGTACAAACCCCGCCTTCAAGCCACCATAATTTGGTCGCTATATCAAACAATTCTAATTCATCGACAACGTCATCAAATTCCGGTAAATTATCCCCTGGTAAACCATGACAATCGTCTTTAGTCACATCATTTAACAACGATAACGCAAATGCAATAACAGCAAAGGCTTCACCCATATCCGCCTTTCGTTCTTTGATTGCTTTCCGGGAGCAACATTTACAACAACAAGCACCCAAACTAATAATGAGACCTTAAATTGTGACAATTTAAGCTATATATATAAATATATAAAAAATAGAAACATATATATATATTAAAAAAAAAAAAAAAAATTAAAGAAACATAAAAATAAAAACAAAATAAAAAAAATTAAAATACTTTCGGACAATAATAAAAAATGTGATTAAACAAGAAATAAGAAAAAAGGAAAACGAACAAAAAACATTAATATCTCTTTAAAGCACTTTTCGAGATTTGGTTTCTCATAGAAATGAAAAGCTGACAACTGCAAAGAACGCGTATTGTTTTTAGAAAAGAAAAAGAAAACAAAAAGAAAGAAATTAATTTAAAGAGAAGAACGGATAAAAAATTGTAAAAAAAGTAATAATAATACGATGTAAAAAAGAAAATACTTATGCAATCAGAGCTTATAGATTAAATACCATTAAAATAAACACTTAACTCCATCTAATGTAACTAAATATACGTTAAAAAGGAAACGAAGAAAATACAACACTGTGCATCCAAATAACTTCTTACAGCGCCGCGAAAACGAAGGAGTATTGCGAATTTAAGTTTACGCGGAAAAGACTTTCGTTCGTATTAAAAATTGATAAAGGATTCACATATCAATTTAAAACAGCAGAAAAAGTTAAGAAAATAGTATAAAATAATTCACTTATCCTAACATATGTATTTTTTAGAATTTATTTTTAAAATAGTTTCTCTTTTCGAAATATTGTTCCTGTAAAGAATAATTTTTATTACACTCCACACCATTAACGCTGTAAATCAGGTAAAAAAAATTTGACGCAAATGAACATAACTAACTAGGAATTCCAAGATAAGAAGTTTCAGGATAAGGATCGTAAGCTGTAGCTAGCCAAGTAAAACCTCAGTTCATTCGAATTTGTATCTAGCAAAGATTTTTTCATTGTTATAGTTTCGAGACCATAAATAGCAACGAAAAGTAGATCAAAATTAAAGATCCAACATCCGTTTCTTTGCACTTTAATGAATATTGAACGATAGCGTATAAACAACTGAGACTTATACCGCACGAACAGCTGAATTAGTTGAGTTATGTACCCAAGTTTGCTAAGCAACCAATATGAATGCATAGTACTTACTTGTACACCTAATAGTTCCTTTTATTTTCACCGTCTAAAGATGGGGTGGAGGATGCAGTCGATTTCGTCTAGTAATAGTTTATCGGACCGCTATGAAGTACACTTCTGAGACCTTATAAACGAGGTATGTTTTTGATTATCATCAAAATCTAAACTTATACGCTCGCCAGTCTCTTCGTATGTTACTATTACGTGGATAGAAAAAGGGCTACAATTTGGCTACAAACAGGCCTACAGTGGATAAAAAACTATAACTTACTGAAACATTGACCAAACAGTCAGCGTAGTAATCTAAAACCTTAAACCGAAATTTTTGCTTATATATTAAAAATAATGAGTATTGATCTAAAATTTATTAAAAGATTACCGTAAAAGATTTATTCATTTAAGGATCTTGTGATAGCAAAGCCAATTTCGTATAATGATTTGCAAAATCATCAAAATCAAAAAAAAAAAAAAAGCAACGAACACATTTTCTTTAGTAATTCACAATTCTTTAATTTTATAACATGGGGAGCAGCAACCCGTCAGTACACGTAATATGACAACGAACATACAAATGTTCGATTTACTTATTGGCATAATTAAATTAGTATTAAATTAATTTTTGTCTGCGTAATCGGCCATAAGATTAGCTTGCAATCTTTTTCAACATATGTACTTTTACATTCTCAAGTTTTTAAATATAAATAAGCAGGGCCCAATTAAGACAAGATCGTATATCGTATACTAGCCGAGCAAATTTAAAACTGCATTTTGCTTTTGGTTTAAATACAAGACGTGTTCCATCCTTTGAAAGTGGTGTGGGGTACCACACTGTCGATACTTGTCGACTGTAGTAATCTCTAGTTTGTTTTTATCATAATTTATTTAGCTGATGGTAACAAAATTTAATAGAATTTTTTCTTTTTTTTTCTCTTGTTCATAAGATATATTTATGTTGGCTGTAAACTTGTAAATATTTTTTATGTAGAAATTATACACAAACATGGAGATACATTTAGTAATAAACTCTTATTAGGAAGAATATTAAAAACATATAAATTTCCCATTTAATTAACTAATTTTGTATAATTTTAGTAATATTTAGGAAGTAAATGAATATTAAAACATGTTAAAAAGCAAAAATATATAAACGAATGCAAAGAACTAACAATAAACAATTACATATATATATATATATATATATATATATATATATATATATATATAAGTAAATGTTAATACATGTAAATTTATGTTTTATTAACCCAAAAAGGAAATAAAGCCGTAAAAATAATAATAAAATAAGCGGTAAAATGAAATAAAAATGCGACTGCTATGAAAATGTATAGAAGATTCCAAGAAACAGGAGCAACTACTACAAAACTAATTGTAATTAAAATACACTACACACGCACACACACGAACGCATATACACACGCACATCCATACATACATACATACATACATACGCGCAACCAAATACAGTCCCATATACTCTAAGTAAACTTACATGCACCGACTTATAACGTATAGTAGTAACATAGTAAAACAACATACAGACAGCAATCGTACACAAACACAAATACCGTTATATAAACATACGAACACTCATGCACACGTTTTAAAATTAACTGTGAAAATGAGATGATTAACGACAAAAAATAACAACAACATAAACAAACGTATGCACGCACAAACACAGAACCATCTCAAGTATTTAAAATTGTATTATTATAATATCAATGATCAACAATACATGCGCATACATTCATATATACAATATATGTGTCACACAAGTGCATACATATATATATATGTATATATATGTATATGTATATATACGAAGTAAATGGTTTATACATATATATATAAAATATATATACATATATTCAAAAATCCCCATTTTAAAGAACCTTCCTCCCTTCATCTCCTTTTCCGTTCTCCCAACATCCCATAATCCTTCGACCCTTCACCCCTTACAATTACTTGTGACACATGTATGCGTATGCAGTTAACAGATAAACTTGCATTATCTGTTTATTAAAATTTGAAGAAAACGTAATTAAAAACGATGATAAAAAAATTTCCCAAAAATGTTAAAATTACCGAAGAAAAAAAATATACAAATAATTATTGCTACAACCGAAAATTAAGAAGAAGAAGTGCACAAGAAGAAAATATATACACTTAGTTGCAATATAAATATTAATCCGTAAATAAAAGAGAAAAAAATGAAAAAAATTATTTAAAAAAAACTATTTAAAAAAAAAAGAATTTTATTTTTGAAATAAAAATGAACAACATATGAAACATATTAGAAAAAAACTACAGAATAAAGGTACCGATAAAAGAAAACTGCATAGATTTCCACTGTAACTCGATTAAGTAAAATAGCAAACAGAGCTCTAACTGACAGTAGAGTAAACGAGTACCATATTTAAAGGCGAATTGTGAAACTACAACCTACATGAACGTATGTGCTTCGACCTTCAAGATTTACAATGGGTCTACAATTAGTCCTTCAGAGCCGGTTTTTTTGTATGACCATCCACTCACCCACCCCCACCATTATACAAACGCGGACGGTGCAGATCTGGACGAGTTATAGGAGGAAAGGGCTCAAGAAAGGGAGTAGCTTTAGTTTTAGTCGTAAAAACCACTTAAAAGCCTGTGAAAACAGTCACTCATTGATTGCCTTTTAGGAGTCATTGTGGCAAACACTGGAACTAGTATCACTCCGTTAACGGTCATTATGTATTATTGCTCGCTCCTTTTTTCGACTTCAGTTGTAAATTTGGACTCTTTTTCTGGCATACCGGTTAAAAGACGGCATGATGCGCATTCTTAATGTGTAATATTGTTCAGGAAATGGTGTGAATATTCAAATGAGGTGTTGCTTTTTATTTATAGCCGGACTGTTTGAGTTGCAAGACCTAATACCTAATTTTTAATACCTAATAATTACACTATTCTGTCGTATTGCGTCGTTCGGGATTGTTTAAAAGGTTATCTAACGGTATATTTTAGATTCTTTTTACATAGAAAAATATACGAAGAATATTTCGCTGATTTGGTCAGAGAATGATACAGAATGACATTTTGATCTTATTATTAGCATGAAAGGCTAAAAACTATTTCATCTTTTTTTCTGCTATTTACTTAACGTTTGTTTTATTTAATTTGTTTGTTTGCGTTAACAGCTAAAACCTTCCTATGCTTAGAATGACTATTTGAAGGTTTATAAAGGCAATAAACTAATTGGATATATCTCAAAGGACAATGCGGCGAGAAAATTTAGATTGTCAAATGTGCTGCTAGAGATCCTCCCAATGAAAAATACTACAAAATGGGAACGCTTTCTATCTATTAACAGAAAAATACAAAAACAAAAATAAATAATTTTGGATACTCCCTTCATCCATATTATTATAACGCCGTCTATATTCGACATTGAATGCTAGATTTGCCAAAGCACTTTTTTGTCAATAAATTGTGTTCTGTATCTCGTATTTTCAGCTTGAAGATTTTTGAATACGGGCCATATTTTCGAATTACATTAGATTCTACTTTAGTTTACTGTTCATCGTGAATCGTGAAACGATTAACGGATAGATAATGTTGAAAAGGACATGGATGTACTTAGACCTAAATAATGTTTTCCAAAGTTTCGAGATTTTGCATGCATAAATAGTTGGGGTTTTTTTAGATAAGAGCGAATGACAATCGTCACTGTAAATTTTTTTTTGCACGTGTAACATGGCACGGATTAGAAAAAAATGCGGAGCAATAGGTGCAGACTATCCGCTACATGGGAGTACGTTCAATTAGCTACTTGTATGTCTTTATTAACCGATCACATATTATAGTAATGAACAAGAATTGAAGACGAGCATGCCGATTTGATAGTCGCCTTTGTTAACTACTTCCCTATGCGATTGTCATAAATATATATACTTGGTGTTGTATACACTGT